GGTGGGGCGGTGAATGAGTGGCTGTGTGGTGTTTGGCTGCCAGCCAAGTTAAACTACAACACTAAATAATGCATACGTCTGTGTAAAACTGTTTTCCAGTGGTAGTGGAAAAAGAAGCTCCTCAGCAATCCCAAATACCCCTTACCTGTGGTGGTGGCAGCGGTATTGTGCAAAGCACACAAATACTTGTTCTAAAATCTGAACAAGCTAAGCTACAGAAAGAGAACTTGCACCTGAAGAAACAAAATGACCTTCTACTAAGGTAAATATAAAGCTGATCAGCAACGTGTCAAATCATTTATTGCTATTTAACTATGCAGGTCATTAGCATTTCTTTCTGAGAGACCTATAGAAGTGAGTAATTGTTAATTTTATAGATTTTCTAGATTCTTTCATGTCATCAACTTTTATTTAAAGCTTATTTATTGCTTATATATATCTTTATGGCTCTTGAACTTTGAGTTGCTTTCTCTCATAACAGTCTCTTAAATGCTAGAAGATAAATTGTGTGTTGCAAGCAATTTTAGCTTAAAAAAAAAGTGTCTCTGCAAGTAAGAAACACAGATATGGTCTTGCCTTGCCATGTCTGTGGTATGTTGTCTGAAGAAACAGGAACTATCAGGAATTTTTCCTTATGTAAAGGAACTAATTCAATTTTTTAATAATAAAATGCTGGTTTTGTTTTTTTTTCTTTTCAGTAATGAGCTTCAACTGAAAGAGGAACTTAGAAAATGGAAAGAAAGAGCACTAAAATGGAAAGAACGATCCTCAAGAGAAACCACTCGAGAGACAGGACCAAGGTCTCCAAGGAAGGCAGGGTCATACTCCCTTAAAGAGCAAATGCCTTCACCCCCCAAGGAACCTATTTCTCAGGAAACTGTGACTCGGGACGTATCAAAGCCTCTGCCACTGACTTGTCCAACAAACTTCTTTGATAATTCCAGCTTGGGTACACTAACAGGTACGAAACACAGCGTTGTTCTCCTATAAAGATTTGGAGAGGCAAAATATAAAGGAGCAGTCTGTGAGTTGAGGGTAAATGCCATGTACTTTGTATATGCAGACCTGAAACTCACATAACACCATTTTCTTGACTGGTTAGTCAGCTGTCTGTTGAAGGACTGACCAGCTGGAGCTGTGAAGTTTATATATATGCTTTACAGAGCCGAAATACTTGGAGTCCTTCAACCCCTGAAGATTATACAACCTTTTTTTTTTTTCTTTTGCTGCAGTGTAAGTGTTGATGACTGACTTTAAAAAGTGAATTAGCAGAATATTATTAGTAGATACCTGATGCTCTAAAATATTTAGCTTTTTAACTTGACATTAGAGCACAGGCTCCAGGCAAAACTATTCAAAGCTAACTGCTGGTTTACTTCTTTCTAAACTATTTTATTAAGATGGTAGACTTCAGTCTGCCAATCTGCCTGGCTCCAGCAGCAGCTGTTTTGATAACTTCTGTCCATCAGCCCCTCTCCGGATTTCCTGTATCTGGCCTGGTGACTTCTGAGGAAGTCTCCTAGTGATCTACGCTAGCATATTAATGGTGCTGCCCTCATCATTACACTTGCTTCTAAAAACTTTCAGAAGGCCCTAGCAGACACGTTGAAGAGTTAACCAGTTTTCAAGGTATTAATGGCAGACTTCCAAAAGGAATATGATTCAATGCTGTTTCTTGTGATGGCCAACTTGGTAATAGTACAGACTTTCTCACAACACAAAGCACCTCATAGGCAAGCTTTGATAGTTGACATTTAAAACACTAGTCAAGATTGAGTTGATATATTCCTGC